TGAAATGAAGCAATTTTGTAAGAAAAGAAACAGTACAAAGAAAGACCATTAAACTCTTGGTCATCTATCTTACTACAAATGGTCATAATATATCTTATTTTGCATCTGTGATTGGCAGAAAAAGAGGCCTTAAAGATATCCATGTCCTAATCCCCAGAACCTGTTAATGTATTATCTCACATGGCAAAACAGTCTTTGCAAATGGATGTAATTAAGATTAAAAACCTTGAGATGGATTATGTAGATAGGCTCAATCCAATCACACAAATGGAAGAGCTTTCCTAGCTGCAGAGAACCAGAGGGGTGGTGGTGTGAGAAGGACCTGACCTGCCATGGCTGACTTTGAGGATGGAAAAAGAGGGCCACCAACCAAGAAATGCAGGAGGTCTCAAGAAGCTGGAAAAGGCAAGGAAACAGAGTCCCCCCTGGAATCTCCAGAAAGAAATGTAGCTCTGCTGACACCTTGATTTCAGCCCAGTGAAACCCACAGTAGACTTCCGACCTACAGAACTATAAGGTAATACATTTGTGTTGTTTTAAGCACTAAGTTTGTGGTAAGTTGTTACAGCAGCAATAGAAAACTAATACAGCACCTTGCTCTGATTCTAGCTTTTCTATTACCCTTGTTTGTAAGCAAGAGAAACCAAGTGGAGCTTCCTTAAACCAACAAAGCAGGCTTTACTGTGAGTATACAGGGTGTCTTGGGGAACCCAAGGCAAGAAAGCAGTAGAGCTGCAGAAAGCTTCTGGGGTCATAGAGGAAATCGCCTCCAGGAAGATCCTTCTTCTGTCTGTCCCTTTCATCTCTGCCTCTCCACCTCACCTCCACTCTTCATTCTTCTCCTTTTTTTTTTTGAGACAGAGTCTTGCTTTGTTGCCCAGGCTAGAGCGAGTGCCGTGGCATCAGCCTAGCTCACAGCAACCTCAAACTCCTGGGCTCAAGCAATCCTGCTGCCTCAGCCTCCCAAGTAGCTGGGAGGCATGTGCCTCCACTACAGGCATGTGCCACCATGCCCGGCTAATTTTTTTCTATATATATTAGTTAGCCAATTAATTTCTTTCTAGTTATAGTAGAGACGGGGTCTCGCTCTTGCTCAGGCTGGTTTCGAACTCCTGACCTTGAGCAATCCACAGCCGCCTCGGCCTCCCAGAGTGCTAGGATTACAGGTGTGAGCCACCGCGCCCTGCCCATTCTTCTCCTTCTGTAAAGACATTCTCTGCTAGTCCATGGAGTCCGCAGGGCTGAGCCTTAGCTCCACGTTGCCTTCCCTTTCTTCATGAGATCAGTCTAGGCTGTGACTAGAATCTCAATCTAAATTCCAAAGTCCCAGGGAAGGAACTCTGCTTGGCACAATTTGGGTTAGGTACCTGCTATAGGTTTGAATTGTGTCCTCTCAAAAAAGATATGTTGAAGTCCTAACCCCCAAGTACCCCAGAATGTGACCTTATTTGGAGATAGAGTCATTGCAGATGTAATTAGCTAAGATGAGGTTTGACTGTATAGTAGGGTGGGCTCTAAATCCAATATGACTGTTGTCCGTGTAAGACAGGGAAACTGGGACACAGACACAGAAGGAAGATGGCCATGTGAAGACAGAAGTAGAGTTTGCAGTTATGCTGCCACAAGCCAAGGAATGCCTAGCTACCAGAAGCTGGAAAAGACAAGGAAGCATCCTCCCCTAGAGGATTTGGAGGGAGCATGGCCCTGGTAACATTTCAATTTCAGACTTCTGGCCTCCCAAACTGTGAAACAATAGATTTCTGTTGTTTTAAGCTACCTAGTTTGTGGTACTTTGTTATGGCAGCCCTAGGAAACAGGGCTAGGATACAGTTACCAAGCCTGATCCAATCAGCTATGCCTAGGGGACCAGGTGTCATAGTATAAATGGGGCTCCTCAGACTCACCCCTATGGCTTGGGGGGTGGGGAACTAATTTCCAAAGAAGAAAGAGTCATTGTGAGTTGGGCAGATAAACTGAAAAGCTGTCCACTCTAGTTCCCTAGAGCTAGGACAAATATGATATTCTGATTTTCTTTTTTTGTTGTTGTTGTTTGCTTTAAAATATTTAGCTCTTTTACCCTTCCGGAATGCACTGTAGTAAATGATGTGAGATAGGAATCTGTTACTTATTTTTCATACTGTAATCCATTTGTCTAATAACTCTAATAAAATTTATCAGTGATTTCCCCCTCCCATCACTGTGTTGCTTCTTGTTTATTAGACAGTGAGCACTGATGTTTGAAAATATTTCTGGAATCTCTATGCTATTCTATTCATCTGATTGATTTATCAGGTTCCTGGCACGGTAGGGAGAGGACTCTGGAGGCTTAATTTCCAACCTGAGTTCTAGATTGTAGTTCCCACTTACTTTATTCTCTCCTCTACATGCTTTATCTATGATGATAGGATTATCTAATTATTCTTATTTTCTGGGGGTGGGGATATTTACAAAATGTTCCTGATCTTTTAAGAGTAATGGATCAAGGGATTCTTCCCATGGAAGAAGTTGTGCTGCTCCCCTTTTTGAAAGGGGTCCCTGGTCCTCTTAACATATCTAGTCTTCAGGATGAGGATAAGTCAGAAAATAGCAAAGACTGCATATTAAACTTCATAATAAATATGTGCTCAGCACACAGTAAGCACTCAATAGATGTTAGGTAATTATCAAATGAAGACCAAAGAACACCTTCCTCAAACTCTTGCCGGTATCCAACATTAGCTCCTCCCACATGTCCTCCACCTGAAGCCATGCATGAGGCTAGAAAGGGGGATGTGATAGGTTAAGTAAGGCCAACCCAAAAATGTCCATGTCCTAACCCCCAGAAGTCATGCATATCTTTTCTTACATAGTAAAAGGGACTTTGTAGACGGGGTTAAATTAAGGATCTTAAAAGGGGAAGAGCATCCTGCATAATCTGGGTGGGCCCAATATGATCACAAGGGTCCTATATGAGAGTGGTAGGGCAGTCAGAGAAAAAGGAGATATGAAGACAGAAACTGGAGTGCTGTGCTTTGAAAATGGAGAAAGGGACTACGTAAAGGAATGCAAGTGGCCTCCAGAAGCTGGAAAAACAAATTCTCCTCTAAAGCCCCAGAAGGAATAGAGGAGCCCTGCTCACATCTTGATTTTAGTTCAGTGAGACCCATTTTGTATTTCTGACTTCCAGACTGGTAAAATAACACATTTGTGTAGTTTTAGGCCACTACATTTGTGGTAATTTGTGACAGTAGCAATAGAAAAATAATAGAGAAGGAATCAGAATTTCATTGAACATTCTACAAAATTTGCTCTCCTGCGCACAAGATCCTGTTTAACTGTAGGAACTGAAGCTCAAAGACCCTCACGGTGCCTTTCTGGCCCTGCCACCCAGTCTGGTTTTCACTATTCTTCAGGTCTCTTCCCTCCACCCCTGCCCACTCAGCCTGATTTCTGCTGTCCCCAAGAAACTCCTTCCATTGAACCACCTTTGGCGCCAAGATTTGATTAGCTGTTCTGAAGTACTGGTGTTAATCCCACATGATTGGGACTAGGGTTACTATTAATAGAAATAGGTAGAAATTCAAGGAGCAAGTTCAATTGAAACATGAAATAACAATGAGAAACCTTTTAAAAACTGGAGCATTTTCTCCCTCAGCATTAGGCCAAAGAGGAAAAAAGCTAGAGACTGAGACTCAGAGACAGTGATAATCTGGAATCTAGCCAGGAACACCCAACTCTACGGTAAGTTTCTGAATATTTGCTCAAAGCGTTTTAAAGCCTTAATCCAGGCCCAGAAGGCTAGATAGAGATAGACAGCATAGATAGAGATCGTGGTAAAAGTGTAGTTTGGAGTTTAAAAAATTGAGATTTGAATCCTGGTTCTGAGCACCACAGTTCCTGGTCTCTTACTTCCTCCAAGAGGCCTCAAACGGAGCCCGTGCGTCTCAAGGCTGCAGAACCCCCAGAGTGCATCACCCCAACACCTAACCCAGGACACTAACTTCTGGGTCCGTGTCACTAAAAAAAGGAAAAGTATAGAATGCACGTCTCTGGCACTAAGCAAGAAAGGCACATTACCAAGAAAGCGCGCTTTTTTACTCTCCTCTCCCAGAATAAAATGCCCTTACTTTTTATTTTATATTCCACATGATTTTATTTTTTCTTTCCGTTCTGTTACTAGCTGGGAGCTAAACATTGGCGGGGGCCCCAGGCGGCTGCTGGAAACGCGCCCTCGCAGGAGCAGAAGGTTCGCTTAGGAGACGCGGGGGGCGGGGAGCGAACTCGCGACTCTTTGTCTCCCCAGCCGGGTGGATTCTCTCCAGGCTTTTTCCCCGGCCAGGCCGAGACCCCAGCCTGAGCCTACGATAGCAAGGGGCGGCCAGGAGGTTCCCAGGACACTCACAGGACAGCAGGCTCACGCAGCCCCCAGCTCCTCCCGGGCAGGGGGCGGGGCGGGGGCGGGGACCACCCACGGAGCCTCCCGGCCCGCCCGCCTCCCCGCCTCCCGGCCTCCCCGCCTCCCGGCCCGCACCCTCGCTCGCTCCTCTCCGCGCGCCGCTCCGAGTCTCTTGTGAGTCCTCCCCAAAGCAGGCTGGCCTGCGGGTACCCAGCGCCTTCGGGAAGCGATGGAGAAGTGGGATAGACAGCTCAGACTGGGGGTGAAGACATGGCCTTCTCCCTCCTCATTTCTTTCCCTCCCCCATCCTAGATTTTGCATGGCAAATTAATTTTAATCCGCCTTAATTTGTAAGAAAAATAACATCAGGGTTTGGAATAAAATTACGCAGTTTCCAGATCAAAACTGGTAATCTTTCGACCTAATTTAGACCACAGAGGGCGAGATCGTGGGAGGGTAGCAGTGCATCCGGTTGAGGGAGATGGATCCTGTGGTGAGGCCACATCGGGGAGGTACTGTGGCATTTAGGGGAGTCTCCAGTGCCCTCCTGGAGGCAGGGCCCACCGCGAGGCCTTTCTACCCCTCCCCTTCTAGTTGCCAGAATGGAAAATTCATGGAGTCCAGCTTAGCCCAGGTCAACAAACTTTTATTGCCACTTCTAGCTCCCCCAACCCCAGCAAGATTCCTGCTTCTTACGCTGTAGCAATACTGAGCTCTGGTGCAGAGGTGGCAGGGATGGGGGACTGGGTGGGTGTTACCACTCCTCTGCACACTGCCAAGTTAAAGAAAACCCCACTTGCTGGAGAGGGAGGGCCAGGCAGGGAGGAATTCAAGGGCATGTATGGCTCAGTCCCTCTTCTGTCTGTAGAATGTAGGGACTATGGTTCCAAACTTCTTTCCAAGGGGGTGGGGAGGGGGATGGATTTGGCTGCTGTTGTACCCCTTGCCCTTGCTGCCATGTTTCCATGGAAATGAAGGAGGGGCAGGATGTAGCTCACTCTGACTACCTGGGAGGATGGCAGGGCAGGCATTTGGTAAACATATCCCCTTTCACTCCTACCTAACACATACAGCTGTCCCCAGCCGACCCTCAAGCTCACTCCTCACTGCCTGTTCCACTCCCTTCCTTTCTGGAACTGGTATCATGCCAACTGGACTCCAGGCAGGGCTGCTGGTGTCTACTCTCCAGGTCTTGCTGGCAACAGTTAGAATCTAACTATGTCCACCAAGCTCAAACTCAGCCCAAGTAGGAGCTGCTGGTTGTGGTGCCTCGGTGCAAAAGCAGCAGTAGTACCCCCACAACTCTGTGCAATTGCTGTTTCCCAAGCATCTCTGCCCAAACGAGGATTAAAACATAAACCCAAATGCTTAACGTTCTAACACTCAAACAATGCTGAGGGCTAGGATGGGAAAGAGGACGCACATCCTTCTGAGACTTCAGTAGCCACCTGTGCACCCTGCCTTCTGTCCATCTGGAGTTTGCTTCTTCCCACTGGGCTGTCACTGGGGGGCTGGAATCCAAATCTCCACTTGGTGCTGTTCTCAGCACCCGCTGCTGTTGGTCAATGAGGCTTGCCTGTTGCCATGGTGAGGAGGTACAGGATGGATTCTCAGTACCATGGGTCAGCCTGGTGCTGCTGGTTGTATAGCTGTAGCTTGATCTGATCTTTGATCTGATTCACGAGGATCTGGGATAGCAGGATTCCCACCAGCTGGGAGAGGCAAGAAGGAATTGAGCCCCCAGCAATGAGTGATGCCCTTGTTTTTCCTGACTCAGTCTTCCCAGTGCCGTCAGTACCATCCCTTCCGCTACCCCTCAGCAATGTCAGTACTTGACACCCTAGCTGATCCCCAGGTGCCCTCCCCAAAACAAAGGAGTCTTTGCAGAGTTTGTGGGACCCACAAATCTCACAGGGTAAGTTACCTGGGGGATGGCTAGGCCTAGTGCCACACCACCAAGTAAGAATAGGTTGCTGTGTATCCAGTTGACCAACTTGTCAATACAGCCATTGGTGTAGATGACTTTGCTAGCTTTCAAGTAGTCCACGGCCTGCATATTTTGGCCACACATAGTGTTGATCACTGCCTGCGGAGAGAGTTGAAAAGCCAAGTGGGACTCCTGTTCCAATAACTTTTTGTCTGGGGCCCTAGCAGATGGGCTTCCTACCCTACCTAAACTCCTAAATTGTTAGAGAATATATGTGGAGGATGCTGGGCTGGAAATCACTAAATGCAGACATCCCTTCCTCTGACAGGTCTGGATCCAGGTCTCCTTGCTTTAGATCTGTCCCTTCTGAACCCCCATGTGGGCTGCAGGAGTGAAAGGTTAACAGAACCATAATACTGGAGTGAAGAAAAACACCTGACAGCTGTCCTACAAAATTGGTTGGTAAAGTTAGGGAATGGGGATCCCCAATATCACCTGCCCTGATTGGAAAGTAACTCAAATCACTGCCCAGGGGGAAATGAGGTGGGATGTTTGCTCACCTGGTCAGGGACAGGCAAGCAACAGGAGTAAGGCACAGAGCAGCGCTCACGGCTGGGATTGTCGTCCGAGCAGTTGAAGTACATGTTCTGGGACCAGTCCTTGTAGGAAATCCCTCCACAGCAGCTGAACTGCAACAAAGCCCACCAGAAGTTAAGAATCACCTACCCCTCACACTGAGGTGACCAGGGGAATTCTCAGAGTGGCCACAAGTCTATGGCAAGCTTTTCCTTGTAACATCAGGTTGTGTTTAAACACAACCTTGAACCTTGAGCTCAAGCTTCCTAGTTGCTTTCACCTGAAGAAATTTTCTCTTCTTAATGTCTATTACTTTATGTATCTTGTTATAACTCACCAAGTGCTTGTTGGTATTACAGTTGTATATGTATTTTGTTTTACACATTCAACTATAAGCTTCTTCAGAGAAGTTTCTGGGCTTTGTAGTCTTGCACAGCATAGAGTCTGGCAAAAGGAGGTGTTCAAAAATACTGGTTGAAATAATCAAAGGCTCAGTGCTGAAAAACTTTGTCTTAAGATAGAGAAAACCCAGCAGGGGAATCTTCAGCACTGTGAGTCTATAATTACTCCATGAAAGCAAACTGGATCTCAAAGTCAAGTGTCTGTTGTACCAGGAGAAAGGGAACTCAGCGTTGAACTCAAAAGCACTTTTATTTAAAAGTTAACTTTTGATTCATAGCAGCATTATTTACAATAGCCAAAAGGTAGAAGCAACCTATGTGTCCATCGATGGATGAATGGATAAACAAAATGTGGTATATACGTATGATGGAATATTATTCAGCCATAAAAAGGAAGGAAATTCTGATATATGCTAAAACATAAATGAAACTTGAAGGCTTGCTAGGTAAAATAAGCCACAAAGGGACAAAGTACTGTATGATTCCACTCATATGAGGTGGTTAGAGTAGTCAAATTCACAGAGACAGAAGGCAGAATGGTGGTCGCCTGGGAGAGAGGAAAATAGGGGGTTAATGTCTAATGAGTTCAGAGTTTCAGTTAGGGAAGATGAGAGTTCTGGAGATGGGTGGTGGTGATGCTTGTACAACACTGAATGTACCTAAGGCCACAGATCTGTACACTTTAAAATGGTAAATTTTATGTTATGTAAATTTTCCAAAAATTTAAAAATTGTAACTTTTGAGTAAGTAATATTAAAAAATCTGCCCAGTTCCCTATTCTCCTGTATGTAACCACTTATAGTAATAATTTCTTATATATCTTTCCAGATTCCTTTTGCAAATATGAACATATATTCTTTTCTCCCCCCTTTTTTTTTACACAAATGGTAGATTACTATATATACTGTTCTGTGTCCTTAAAAGTACTTTTAAAGTACTCTGCTATGTATGTTTTTTTGCCAAACCCCTTCCCAGAATCCGTTACCTGGCAGGTAATGAAGAGGCCCCATAGGCCTAGAGGGTGAGGTATCTCTTGGGATGATGTTCATTTTTACCCACAGGCCCCCCAGACCACTTGCTGACCCCACCATGCAAAGGCCATACCTCCTTCTGGCCAAAATCAATGAGGTTCTGCAGATCCAAATCATCCCGGTAGTGCACAATGGCATTGTTGATGATTTCACTCACTTTCCCCCGAGCCTGCCAGAGACATGGGTGGGGAATCAGGACCTAGGACTAATCCCTAAATTGCTCCTTCCTGCAGAAATAACAGTAGACAGGGATCATCCTTCTCCATCTGAGTCAAACTTGAAATCTGAACTGAGTCCTAACAACGGATGATAGCCAGTTCCAAAGCCCATGTGTCCCTGGGCCCTCAGGTACCAGTGAGCAAAAAAAAATGCAGGACTTGCTGTCAGAGATTCTCTAAGCCACATTTCAAGATAATCCAATGCTTATCTACCTCCAGGACTATTACCACAAAATACTTGCTGATTGATGCAAAGTAGAGAAACTAATTTTTTTTTAATTGGCAGAAGGGGCTTACTGAGCTGAGGCACTGACCTCTAGTGGACATTAGAGAATCGCATCTCTTTAGACTCAAAACACATCTGTATCCTTTCAGGACCTTACTAAGCCAGAAGGACTAGGAAATTCTGAATTAACTCAATGGCTCTCAATTTCATAATTTTCTACCATGCTCTCTTTCTTCCTGATACACTACTTTTCTCAAAGGTTCCTTCCATAATCCTATACTCTGCCCCCAGCAATCACTTGCCATTTGGGAAAGGAATTCTGGTTCTTAACAATAAGGACAGTCACCGAATGGCAGACCACTTCCAGATATGGTAAGCACTGTTCAAAATCTTGTTTTCTTTTCTCCCTTCTGTCTCCGTGTTTATATCAATAAACAATTTTTAAAAGAAATAAGAGGCTCCTCATGTTGTCTATGCCCCACTTGATCACTGAGTTTTACTTAGTCATTTGCTATTAAAGTTTGCAAATTATTTTAACTTGGAGTTCATAGAATTTACTTCCCTGTTGGCCTCTCATACTGTCAGAGGAAAACACCTTACAGCTTTGAAATTCTCTTCAAATACAGTGACCTTAAAGGGCATTCATTCATTTACTCCTAAGGAGAACCTTTCACAGGCTGGTGTTTCTCAAGGGAGGGGGTGCTGTGGTTAATTAACCAGGGTAAACTCAGGCAGAAACTTTCCCTTCCTCCATCTGGGTCCCACCTGAGGAGGCTTCCAGGCTCTCAGTGTTACCTTGTCTGAGAAGACGAAGCCCAGGATCCCAGCCGCCAGCTGTAGCAGGAACACGATGGTGAGACAGAGGGAGAACTGTGGGAGGCAGACGGGAAAAGGAGACGCCTGTTAACACTCGGGGCAGCTGTCCCCCCAGGGCCATGGGGAGTGCAGGGCAGTCACTGGGCACTTTTCCCAGTGCCCCCTACACGGGAAAGGCAGCTGCTTCTGGAACATCATCATCTGGGGCTGAGCTCTACAGTAAGGAAGTGGACAGCACAGGCCTTGGGAGAGGGTGGGACAGGGGAAACTGAAAGGCTGCAGGAATGGCATCAGGTGACATCTTTCTGGTGGGGTCCCTGAGCACTCACCGTCTGCAGGAGGCAGATGTTCTCACGGAGGGATCCAATATAGCCACAGAAGGTGAGCAGGAACATGAGGACACCCACCACGATCAGCAGGATGGCAGGATCCACTGCCAGGCAGGCCAAGGCTGCTTCTGGGGGAGGAGCCGTCCTGTAGTCTGAGCCTGGTGCCCACTGGGGGTGGGGTGGGAGGGTGCCCCCAAACCAGTCTCCGTCCCTTGGTGGGGGAATCTCCAGTATGGTCAGGTGAAGGGTAGGGGGAGAAAAGGAACCAGATGGGGCTGTGGCGTTTAATTTGAGGAACTAACGATATAAGAGCCTTTATTCCTGGGCTTAAGAGAGGAGGGGCCACTTTCGCTCCAGAAAAGAATTAGAATGGCATTAGGCTCACCAGCTTTGCAGACTCTGTTTCCTGGAGACTGTGCAGTGTAATAGGAATGGAGGTTGAGTTTCTCTAGGACAGAGCTAGGGAGGGGCTAAAGCCCTTGATTGCTCTCTGCTTCCAGAGGCCTCCCTTCTTTCTCAGACATTTCCTAAGCCTAAAATGGAAGACTCATGGGGGCTCAGGGATATCCAGGTGGACTGGCATGGATGGTCTGACACCTAAGTAGACCACTAAGATTTGGCTACAAGGAGGCTGCCTTCTTGAGCACCATAGCTTATGCAGGAAGGCATGCAAGAGGGCCAGGGCTGAAGGAGGCAGAGGAGAAAGGGCATGGCCAGACTCCTGGGGAGGTGTTGGGAGACCTTTGCTCACCTGCATGCTTCATCAGCCGTGCATACACTCCCACGGCCACCAACACCATGGAAATCACCTGTAGAGACAGGGAACAAGCCAGGCCCTGAGATTTTGGAAACCAGAGAACCCTGAATGCCGTGAGTAACCTTCCAGGAGAGTAGGAGAGAGATGCCTTCCCTAGGACCCAGAGGTGAGTATCTTTCTCCTCCCCAGGTATATTGCTGATAGTATCTGACAGTGCTTTAGCTCCATGAGATACTTTTACAAAATCATTTCATTCAATCTTTACAACACAATTATCTTGGAAGGTAGATATTTTCTCAATCTTATAGATGAGGAAATAAAGTCAATATAAGTATAGATCAGTGATTAAGAAGATGAGCTTCAGAGTGAGTCAAACTTAGGCTCATGTGGGGCAAATTTCTGAGCCTTGGTTCCTGTATCTGAAGATGGGAATTAAAAACAAACAAGTACATCTAACAAGATTACTGTGAGAATCGTGGCCGGGCGCGGTGGTTCACGCCTGTAATCCTAGCACTCTGGGAGGCCTGGTGGATCCACTCTGGCTGGATTGCTCAAGGTCAGGAGTTTGAAACCAGCCTGAGCAAGCGCAAGACCCCATCTCTACTATAAATAGAAAGAAATTAATTGGCCAACTAAAAATATATAGAAAAAATATTAGCCAGGCATGGTGGCGCATGCCTGTAGTCCCAGCTACTCGGGAGGCTGAGGCAGGAGGATTGCTTGAGCCCAAGAGTTTGAGGTTGCTGTGAGCTGGGCTGATGCCAAGGCACTCTAGCCCAGGCCTGGCCCGGGCATGGAGTAAGGCTCTGCCTCAAAAAAAAAAAAAAAAAAAAAAAAAAAATTACTGTGAGAATCAAATAATATGATGCATGAAAAGCATTTAACACAATGCCTGACAATACATATTATCTATCATTCCTAATAGTTAACTTGCCCAGGGTCACAGACAAATGGTGAGGTTTTGAATTCTAATCTATCTACATCAAAGGGCAGCTCTTACAGCTAGAGCAGGCCTGGGCAGATGCACACTCCCAGCTCTTTAACCTTCTTGGAGGTCAAGATGGTGTCAACTACAAGGAAGTGCACTCCAATGTGAAAGAGTGTGCCTAAATACTGGAGCTGCCGTGGCAAAGGAACCTTTATCTTTATAAACTCTGATTCCAGTGTGGAGTCATAAGAGGAGTTCAGATCTTCCAAATTTTATGGCTTCTCCCTGAGAGAATAAATCCATCAGAGACTACCAGGAGTCCCCAAAGAAGCCTTCTGTACCCACCAGGCCTCCAGGAGTGAGGACAGCCCAGTGTGTGCCTCCCTTGGCTACCCTTTCTTTGTGCCCAGCCTCCAGGCTGGTGCTAAGCAGCAGCTGGCTGTTGCCATGGCAATAGATGGGCCCAAGCTCTGGCAGGAGAGAGTTCTCAGCAGCAGGGACTTGACCAACTCAGTGGGGAAGGAAGTGGCTGGCTAGACTCCACTGTCCTGCAAGAGAGAGGCCAGCTGGAAAGAGCCACTTTGGGGCTTTGGTAGTAGAAGGGACCTGGGCTTCTAGAAAGGCAATAGGGTCAGACTAGTGCCTCAGGAGAATGACATTTTTCCTTATAGGCTTCCTTTATAAAGGTCCTCTGCCATCTGGCAGGGGAGGGCAGGTGCATTCAGCAGTAAATGGCAAACCCTCATCTAAAACCACGTCTTTCAGGACCCTCCTCAGCCCCCTCTCTTCAGCCCCATCACTTGAGCCTGCCTCTAACTCAGGACCCAATGCATTATCCACCAGCCCTCATGCTCTGTCCAGGAGAAAGGGAGCTGCTAGCAGAGCTGCCTGTGGGGCTGGAGGTGCCAGCTGACTTCTGGTCCCACAGCACGACCAGGCCCAGGGAACATGGGGGAAGCAGGGGAACCACATGGTAGAGATGCCAGTCATCCCCCGGGCCTGGAGGCCAGCCCTCTGCCAGAGTGAGTGAGCATCTCTGCCCTTTAAAATTCACCAGTGCCAATTACGGTTCTGAATATCATTTTACCGAACCATTTAAAATGATGTGTCTGCTCTTTAATTCTGTTGCTCCCAGGCTCCTCACTGTTTATTCACATGTTAACTTTTCACTAGGGTGTGTAACTTTCCACAAAGATGGTCTCTGACTAAATCCTAATGCAGCTAAAACAAGAAAGGCAAAGTAAAGAGATGCTGCATATCTCAGGGTAGCTCAATTTTATTTATGTTGTAATTATAGCAGTTGTTCTGTCTCTCTCTGTGGTAGGTAGAATAATGTCCCCCTAAAGATGTCTATGTCCTAGTTCCTGGAACCTGTGAATGAATATGTTACCTTACATGGCCAAAGGGACTTTGCAAATGTGATTAAGGATTTTGAGATGGGGAGATTATCCCGAGGACCCAAAAGACCTTATAAGAAGGAGGCAAAAGGGTCAGAGTCAGAGGAGATATGATGATGGAAGTAGAGGTTGGAATGATGTGGTGCCATGAATCAAAGAATCCTGGCAGCCTCTAAAAGCTGGGACAGGCAAGGAGATGATTAGTCCCTAGAGGCTTCAGAAGGAATGCAGCACTGCTAAGACCTTGATTTTAGCCCAAGAGACCTGTTTTGGACTTCTGATCTTCAAAAATATAACAAAATTAATTTGTGTTGTTTTAAGCCAGTAAGTTTGTGGTAATTCCTTACAGCACCAATAGGAAACTAACACACTGTCCAAATCCAATTCATCAGCTGCTGTGTACATGGTACCCTGAGGACCTATAAACTATGTGTTACATGGTGGATGGACAATAGCATTTATAGCTGAAAACAGTGGTTCTCAACCTTGGCTGCCATTAGAATCACCCAGGGGGTTGGGAGTGGGAGGAGAGACTTATAAAACTCCTAATGCCTAAGCTGTACCCCAAATCAAGTGGATTAGAATCTTTGGCACTGGGATGCAGACAACAGTATTTCTGAATGAGTTCCAGGTGATTCCAATGTGCAGCCAAGTCTGAAAACCCATAAGCCTATGGCACAATCAGCCAGGGAGCTAGAGCAGCAGATGCAGGCTACATTAAAATCAAGACTTTAATATTATTTTCAATATTTAATATGATCATTAATGATGTCTTTTCCTCTGAGCTCTCAAATTCTGCACTTCACAGCCAGACCTTGCATACTCCCATTCCTGCTCCCACTTCCCATCCTGGATTCCTCAAGGCTACTGCCTTTCCAAAGTTAGTGATGCTGCTGTTAATAGCATCACATTTTATTTTATTTTTTTATTTATTTAGAGACAAGTTCTTGCTCTGTTGTCCAGCCTGCAGCACAGTGGCATGATTATAGCTCACTGTAGCCTCAAACTCCTGCGCTCAAGCAAACTACTCAAGCGAGCCTCCTGAGTAGATAGGACTACAGGCATGCACCACCATACCTGGCTAATTTTTCTATTTTTTGTAGAGATGGGGTCTCATTATGTTGCTAAGGCTGGTCTCAAACTCCTTGCCTCAAGGAATCCTCCTGCCTCAGCCTCCTGAGTAGCTGGGACAACAGGTGTGCACCACCATATCCAGCTAATTTTTCCATTTTTTATAGAGACAGGGTCTTGCTATGTTGTTCAGCCTGGTCTTGAACTCCTGGGCTCAAGCTATCCCCACTCCTTGGCCTCCCAAAGTGCTAGGATTATAGGTGTGAGTCACTATGCCCAGCCAGCATCACATCTTAGAGGTTAATAGAACCTTATAAATGGGTCTGAAAGAGTAGAAGTGATACTTGACCACATGCAGATGGGTGCAGTGGCAATATCGGAACTAAATTCAATTTTTCCAACTCATTCTGGTACTCTTTCTACTATATCAGTTTTTGCTGCAAAATCCTTATAACACCCCACAATATCACCAATGACCTCCATTCACAATGAGGATGGAGATAAAGATACTTCTTTTCTTAGGATAGCTTTTCACATTCTGGCTAGAATGAAGCCTGGCTGGAAACTTTCAAAAGCTATATACAATTTTTAAAATGGCTGAGTCTAGCTTTTAGCAAAATGTATGTTCCTGATAAGTTGTCAATCAAATTATATAAAATAATTTGCACACACCAGTACTTTTATCCTTATGTAAGGAAATTAATCACCTTGTAATAAAAATAGCTATCCCCTGGGCTCCTTGGAGAAATGGCTGATTCTAGGACCAGGGCAGGAAATATATAAAATGAACCTGGAGCATCTTGTAGTGTCAGAAATTAAGGAAATTCTCAAAAACAAATAAAAACAACCCCCCACCTCAATACCCACATCAATGTGAGTATGCCAAACAGACACAGGAGCCAATTGAAAGAGCTCCCAATTGGCCAAAGCCAATGGAACAATTTGAGCATCAATATAAAGAAAGAAGTATTGAATTATTACCCAGAGTATAAAATACATATATGTGAGTCCATGCTGATATAAATGACTTATTGAATAAATAAATGGAGGAAAAAAGATAAATCTTCCATGCAGTAGAATTCTAAATCATTTATGTAGATATTCTACCCTCAATGAGATAGAACAGGCCGGGCGCGGTGGCTCACGCCTGTAATCCTAGCACTTTGGGAGGCCGAGGCGGGCGGATCGCTCAAGGTCAGGAGTTCGAAACCAGCCTGAGCGAGACCCCATCTCTACCAAAAATAGAAAGAAATTAATTGACCAACTAAAAATATATATATACAAAAAAAAATTAGCCGGGCATGGTGGTGCATGCCTGTAGTCCCAGCTACTCGGGAGGCTGAGGCAGTAGGATCGCTGAGCCCAGGAGATTGAGGTTGCTGTGAGCCAGGCTGATGCCACGGCACTCACTCTAGCCTGGGCAACAAAGTGAGACTCTGTCTCAAAAAAAAAAAAAAAAAAATGAGATAGAACATAACTCCTTGCTCCTCTTCCAAAGAGCATAGTATAGAAAAGGGCTGGGTTGGGGGAGAGGGAAGACTAACTATACCATGGAGAAACCTGACACACACCACCTCAAGCCAGGTGATCAAAGTCAATATCAACAATGATGATGTTGACGAATCACTGGTATGACATGGTAAGATGCAATGAAAA